TCTCTTTAAAATTTAAGTTTCTAGCTTTCCTGGTTCCTGAGTTAGGAATTTGCCCGCAAACAATTTTCACAGGCAGAACCATACATACCTTGGGGCTGATTTTGAAGGCATTCGGTTGCAACATTCACTTAAAAATTCCAGGTTTCTAGCTCCTCTGTATCCAAAGTCAGCAACTTACCTGCAAAAAACTTTAACAGGACAGTACGTAAAAACCACGCATACCTGGAGCCTAGATTTGAGCTCATTAAGACCTACGTGGACAGGGAACATCCTCCTTTTGAAATCCTAGCTTCCTAGATCTTCAGGTCCCCGAGTTAGTCACTTACCCGTAAAAAATTTCACAGTCCCTTACATAGGAACCATGCATACCTGAGGGATGGGTTTGAACTCATCAAGTTCTACGTAAACGGGGAAAATCCCCCCAAAATTTCAGCCTCCTAGCTTTATTAGTTCCCGAGTTAGCAGCTTACCTGCCAAAAACATTAACGGGCCTGCATGTGGGAATAACGTGGGTAAGAGTCCGTATGTGCATGTAGATTAAGTCCCCAAAGTTTCAGCCTAATAGCTTTTGTGGGTCTCGAGATGAAAAATCTGTTCAGACAAACATGTAGATACACGCAAACATAGAGAACCCTTCGCCAATAAGCGTTTTCTGCACTGCACAGATGCAAAAAACATATAAAAACTCAAATAACCAGCAGCTGCAGTCACAAAGCTGAGAAGCAATTCAACTTTTAAAAAAATGCATTATTTGGTGTTTTAAGCAAATTTTTCCCAGCTTAACGATGTCATGCTATTCATATTTCAGTATTAAGAAAACCGGAATAAAATTTCTTCCTGAAGAAATGAACTTTCCTATTTAAATCAGTACATCCTGATCAGTTTGGACAGCGAAACGGCTTATCTCCTTCTCTACTGGTCCCGGAAGCGTGCAGTAAGGACCGCGCCTATTTCGAAATACTCACGAATTAAAGTTCTCTTTCCTTCGCTCCCCCTTTAAATTCAAGCAAGGAAAAAGTCTGCGTACATGATCAAGCAATCAGCGGTTTCAGTGCAAAACGAAAAACTATTTCCCCAAGCAGCAGCTCACAACAATCTTTAACACTTACCAAAAATTCATTGAGCATATCCACAAACTGCTGCGCGGGTAACGAAAGCAACTCATCGGCATGCTCAGCACTTGTTGACCATGTCACTGAACTCATGTCTTCAGCAAGCGGTAGCAACGCCACCGGGCCGGTTGGTGTAAATCTTTGAAACGCAACGCAATTATTTTCTTGCTAAAATATCTTTTTTGAGAAATGCCACACACTGCTAAATTCAGTTTAGCGCGTGAAAGCTTGCGAATAAATTCAAAAGGCTTCCAAAAATGCGACCTGTACGATTCAGATACAAGAGAAGGAGTGGGAATACAATGAGAATGTGTATTAAGCACCGTATAGGTAAGCACATCAGCAGAATATTAAGGGTTACCAAATGGCAATTACTTAACCTCCGTTCTGTTCGGCTCCGTCGGTATCATGGAAACACCCTATCTTCCCTGCCAACGTTATTTCACAGCGTCGTTCACCGGCACCGCTTGAAAGTTTGCTTACGAGCATTGCGTAGCGCTACTCAGCGCTCGGCCGCTAGATCGACAGCTGGGGAGCACAAGGTGGGAGCTTTGGACGTGGTTAGAAGGGGAGGGGGTGGTTGCTGGGTGTCCAGATGCAGCTCTGGGAGCACAGATTGGGGATAGGATAGAAGAGGGGAGCAAGGGTGCTAACCAGAAGATCGAGACGAAAAATGGCGACAGTGGTTGGAGGGTGGTGGGTGATGGGTGCCCAGATACCGCTCTGGAGGCAGGATAAAGGTGAGGACGAAGGGTACTAGTCAGCAGTTCGATGCAAAGACTTAAAGCAGCTGTAAAGAAAAGAAACGCGGCAGTAGAAAAAAATAATTGGCCAACGCACGGGCTGCCCGTGCGAAGATGCGTTTTTTGCATAGCTCCCCGCAGATTTTTGTCGCTGACGGCAGTGGTTTTTCTGGCAGATGCCTCTCGCTAAAAGAATTTCAGACTGACCGTCAGGACTCACAGGAAACATCCCTTCAAAATCCCATTCTTCTAGCTTCTCACTTTCCTGAGTTAGCAACTTAGCCGGAAGAAACTTTCAAAGGTCCGTACGTAGGTACCACGCTTAGCCGCGGGTAGGGTTTGAACTCGTTAATACCCACTTTGATGGGGAAAATTGCCGTAAGATTTCAGCGTTCTAGCTTCCCAAACCCCCGAGTAATGAACTTACCGGAAAAAATTTTGGCAGGCCCGTGCGCGGGTACCACGTTTACCCCGGGGATGGGTTTGAGTGCATTAATACTTAGTTGGACGGAGAACATTCCCCTAAGATTTCAGCGTTCTAGCTTCTCAGATCCCCGAGTTATGAAGCTACCCGAAAGAAATTTAGGCGGGCTCGTACGCGGGTACCACGCTTACCCGGGGGATGGGTTTCACTGCATTAACACCTACTTGGACGGGGAACATCCCCCTAAGATTTCAGCGTTCTAGCTTCTCAGACCCCTGAGTTATGAGCCTACCCCAAAAAACTTTGACGGGCCGGTACGCGCGTACCACGCGGGTTTTGGCGCCCATTTTGTGGATTGGGGCCGGCACGTGAATGTAGATTAAGTTCCCGAAATCTCAGCCCCGCAGCTTTTATACGCCTTGAGATGAAGGTGCGTGACAGACGCACACACAGACACACGAACACACAGACAACCCCATGTCAGTATGCGTTTTCTGCATTGCATAGCTGCAAAAAACGCTTAATGAAAACTGAGGTTATGCAAGCGAAAAATGTCTCACAAAAGTCCGTCTGCAGCAGTGGGCTTTCCCATTTATGAAGTTGATGCTTAGCTAAGACTGAGAGCTCTCAGCTTTACCTTATTTGCTTTCCGCCTTATCTATGCATTAACTTTATAAATGAAGTCCTCTACTAGTGGCGCGTTTTTATAGGACAATTTTCACTTGCACAGACTCTGGTTTTTATGCTTTTTTTTGCAGCTATGCAATGCAGAAAACGCATATCGACGAGAGGTTGTCTGTGTGTGTGCTGCGCGTCTGTGCCGATTTTTCATCTCGAGACCCACAAAAGCTACGGGGCTGAAACTTGAGTAAGCTAATCTACATGCGCGTATGGCCCTCATCTCCGAAATGGGCGCGCCCCGTACGGGCCCGCCAAAATTTTTTTCGGGCAAGTTGTTAACCCGAGAACCTGAAAAGCTAGAAAGCTGAAATTTTAAGGGGATGTTCCCCATTCAAGTAGGTATTAATGTGTTCAAACCCAGCTCTTGGGTATACGTGGCACCCACTTACGGGCTCGTGAAAGTTTTTCGCGGGTAAGTCGCTAACTGGAGAACCTGAGAAGCTAGAAAGCTGAGATTTTACGGGGACGTTCCCTGTCCAAGTCTTAATGAACTTTATACCAGGTACATGTGGTACCCACGCACGGGCCCGCCAAAATTTTTTTGGGTAAGCTGTTAACCCGAGTACCTGAAAAACTCTACAGAAGACTGTAATTTTAAGAGGATGTTCCCCATCCAAGTAGATCCCAACGAGTTCAAACCCAGACATCGGATATGCGTGGCACTCACGCACGGGCCCGTGAAGGTTTTTTTTCAAGTAAGTTGCTAACTCAGGAGCCAAGAAATCTAGAAAACTGAAATTTCAAGGGGGTGTTTCCTGACCGTTCTCGCGGCCAGTCTTAATTTGTTTAGCTAGAAGAATTTGCCGGGAAAACCGGTGCCGAAAGCGACAAAAACTGCGTGGAACTATGCAAAAAACGCATCTTTGACGGACAGTCCATGCGTTGGACAATTATTTCTTTTGGTTTTTACTCATAGCAAAAAGAAATAATCTACTTTTGTTTTAATTTTTCTTCTATTCGTACGGTCAGGTTTGCTTTAATTTACATTTTTTTATACTGCTTTCTCTTTCTTTTTACTGCTGTCTCCAGTTGTCTCGAGCTCCTGACTTGTATCATCGTTCCCCTCCTTTACTCTGTCTCCAAATCCTGCCTATCTGAGCTCCCCTTCCTCCCCACTATAAGAGCACTGCAGAAGCAACATGAATTTTAGTCCTTTCCCTACTCCGTGTATCCGTGGCAAAAACCAGGAGCGCGCTCCCACCTCCTACTCATCACCCCTCCCTATTTCCTTTCCAAATGTACATGGCCTAAACAATCAATACATCTAAGCTACGCACCCATTCAGTCCACCACCTCTCCCCATCTCCTTTTTCACCTGCCGTATCGGATGCCCTTCGCACAACAGTGGGGTAAAGCTACCCGCCACCGGTCGAAAAAATTCTTCGCGAATCGTGTATGGTGCTGGCCGAGCCGAGGTCTAGTAAATGCCTTTGGAACTGTGTGACTCGAGAAAGACTTACTGCCTGCACTCGAAGATTTGCCACAACCGCTTTTTGGCCGTATTCCCACGTTGTATATGTGAAATTGAGAGTATTTCTGACAAGACTTCTGGCACCATCTGCCCCAATCTTAAAGCTTTCAACCATTTAATCACTGCGTCAATTCAAACAACAAAAATGCATGGATGAAAACTCGGAAATTCAACTTTTGAAACAACTGAAAATGCTAAACAAAGAAAATGATTCTGAGAAAAACGCCAAACTGGCATTCTATCCAACACCATATGAAAAAATACCACAGACCAGTTATTGTGAGAAAATTACAGAACTCACGATAAGCGATGTGCGCAGCGTTGTACCGTCATCCAGACTAACTGTGGCATAATCATCAAGTCCTGAAGGTATCCTAAAAATCCAGCTTTTAAATCGAAAACGCTCAAATCCACAATGTGTTTCATTCTACAAAACAAGCACGATCAAACCAGTCTATGGCCTGAGTAAACTATGCAGCAAAGTCAATAAATAGCAACGCGCACCAGACTACCCGATGCGATCATACGTTTTGTGCAATTCAGCCCATCGAACGATTGCCTATTAATGATTTTCACTGCTTTGTACTTTCGTCTATGCAAAAACAGTTGAAACACTGAAAAATTGTTAGGAATTTCGCGCATGAAAGCTGAATTCGAAACCTTGAAGGGCAAATATCTTTCCGTGATTCCCGAGTTAACAGTTTACCGCTAAAATCTTCACGAGGCCGTAGGTGAGACCCGAGAGCGCGGGAACGCTGAATTTGAATAGGCAGTGTTGAGCGTGGGCAGGGGTCATTACCCTAAAATTTCAGCTTCCTGAACTCCGTGGTCCCCGAGATAATAATTTATCCGTCAAAAATTTTTCACGGGGCCGTACTTGTTACCCGCAGGCAGGAGAAAGCTGAATTTAAACTTTCTGGGTAGCACATTGTCGAGGGACATGTTCACAAAATTTTAGCCTTCTACCTTCCGTGGTTCCCGAGATACTGATTTTACCCGAAAAAATTTTACGGCGCCGTACGTGTTACCCGCGGGTGCGGGAAGGTTGAATTTAAATTTGCCGCGTCACCCGTTGGCTGGGAACACTACACTAAAATTTCAGCCGCCTAGCTTTTGTGGTTCTCGAGTTGAAAGTGCGGGACAAAATATGGGACACACATACAAACACACACACATACACGCAGACAACTCCGTGACAATATGCGCTTTGTACTGCTGTTACACAGCACAAAACGCATAAAAAGAATAACCTACTAGCAAAACCGCTTGCAACTTCTAAGCGCTTAAAAAATACACCGAATCTCTAGTCAGTCCCAATTTGCTAGCATAACGAACTCAAATGGCTGGATCGTTCAGCAGCGAGTTTTGAACCACATCCAACGACCGGAATCCACGCTATTCCAAAGAGTACATTTTACAGGAAAGCGCATCTACCGTTAGAACGGCCTGATCTGCATTAAAAAATTAAAAAAAAAAATTAATTGCACAAAAAACTCTTCAGCATACTTGCATCCGGAGACTCTGGCGCCTCTCCGAACAGCGACATTTGGGCAGCTCGATCTGATGCGTTCGGTGAGGAAGCCAACGATCGCATTATTTTCAACGATGTAGGCGATTTCATCCTCTGAATTCTTTTGGACGAACCGTATCGACGAGCGCGAACAACTATCCAGAACCTGCAGTCCCACGCAACACTGAACAACTTTATGCACTCTGGAAACTGATCCAGCCCGCTCAAGGCAGCAAAACTCGCACTCCCAAGCAGTTCTTAAAAAGCGACCTTTTACCAAGCACCAAAGTCTTATATTACTCGAAATAAACTCTCTCCTCTTTCCAAGTCCAACATTTTCGGACAAAAACTGCTCTCAGCCCCTCGATTCAGTCAACAAATACAAATCGGCTCCCATCAGACAGCTGATGCAATTAAGTGTTTTGCGTAGTTCTGTCCAGCGGAGCTAAAAAGGTACTAACAACTCGTCTGGACTTTCATATATTCACACAGAAGAGTCGGCGTAGATGGCGTTCAGATTCAAATTTTTGGAGTCGAATATCAAGCAGCCTCGTAAAAGCTCAGCTTTCTGCCCTGTTCAGCGCCCAAGTTGGGAAATTTCATGTGCACATACACAAAACGTATGCGCACGTGGGAGTTAATCCTCAATTTCCAGAGATAGCACATCACACCTGTAAGTTCCCTCCACCTCCCCCACTCAAATCATGCCAGCCGAAAAAGCAGCCGCAAGTTACAGAGGTTCTCATGCTAGTTCTCAGACCAAATAAACAAAGTTCGGTCAGTTTGTTCACTCAAATAAAAAGGTGAGTTCGCTGGCCTCATCATGCCACCTGAAAGCAAAAGAGGTGAGATCGCGGGTTCGCTGTTGTTCAGCCCTCTCGAATATGCCAGTGCTCAATTTCGCTTTTTTGTTTTCAGCCAAGACAATCAACAAACCTCTAGCCTGTCAACTCGTTTCACTCGTAGATCTACGAGACTGCTCCAAATTCCCAGTTCTGCAAATTTATAACTGTATAACAGCACATTTACTTGAGCACAGTTATATTAGCTGGCAGTGAAAGACTGCATAATTCTGCTCTATTTCGGAAAGCAGCAAGAAGAACGAACTTTTGAAAAGTGCAACGGCAGGGGGCGATACGGCCGATACTCGATTGCCATACGGCGAATGCCGTTCTGGTGCCTTTATTTTTGCTGAATCGAGAACAAGCACTTTCTTCGACTTCAAACGCTCGCTGAGCCCTGGAAAAAACAAATTTCAGTGTGAAAGCGACAATGTTAGTACTTGCTGCCTCCCTCCCACTGCATACCGCGCTCAAACGGCCAGAACTTTGCTGTCCCTGGTCTTTGCCGGAACCAAATGGATTTCACTTTTAGCATACAATCCCAATATATATACATGATACAACTCCGTGCATACATGTTAGTTATACAATTCCACACATGATCGACTAAAAAAATTCCTTCACCTATAGCGCGAACTGACCCCTGTCACAACAAAAACTGCTTGAGAAGTACCAGTTGTTGTTGCTGAAGCACTAGAAATCGATTCTTCTACTCTTTCAGGATATGAATCTACAGAGGCAAAGGATACGAGAGAGTCGGTGCTCGAAGACTAAGGTGACATCCTCCTTCTTTTTCGATGAACCGACACACCCCTACTCATTTCTCCTGGCCAAACTGCCCCGGCTCGCCCTTGAATTCACACAACTCAATTTCACATCGCACCGGGTCACTATTGGCATGGCAGCTCAATTCTACGCCTTTCCGTTTCATCCTTTAACAAATACTATTCAATATCGGCAGGACCTACGATCCAAGTGCCCCCCAAGTTCGGTACACTGAGGCGCCACTGCCACAAAGCAACGCTGAAGAGATCCGCAAAAGAAACACGAGCCATGACGAATGAATGAATGAATGGAGCGGCCAGAAGCCACACACCGATTGCGCAGGCCATCGCATTGCCGACCATTCCGCCGCCGACAATGACCACATCGTAATATGGAGAGGTTGCTGTCGCTGCCGCTGCCGACGTACAACGTCGCGTCAGGGACCGTACACACAGCATACCTGAAACCTTTGGAGGAGCACTAAGCCCGATGGTATCATGTCCTAGTTATCTCAGCGCACTCGTGCATCACCCCAACCCCGCACACCCACCCAACCAACCAAAATCACCCCAACGCTAGCCACCTGTGTCCCAGACAACAATTACAAAAACTCGGCTTGGTCCCGCTGGGCCGGCGCCACACGAACCACAAAAAGTTTTTTGCAATTGCAGTAACTCGGCTCGGTTCGGCTCGGATCGTCTCATACACAAGCCGCAAAAAATTTTTTCTGCTGACAGCCGGTAGGGCAACCCCACAGCGGACGGCGGCAGTTTCAATGTGGGAGGTGGGAGTTGGGGTGGTATGTGGCGGGTTTTGTTGGAGGCGAGGGAGAGGGCTAGGATAGGTGGATATAGGGACTAAACGCGTAGATCCTTTGCCGATTGACTAGGTAACGTACATTTAAGAGGAGAGGGAGCGGTAAAGAACGGAAAGGACGAGGAAGTGTGCTCCTGGAAATTCCCTTTTTATGCGTTTTTTGCAGCTATGCAATGCGGAAAACGCATATTGACGAGAGGTTGTCTGCGTGTGCGTGTATGTGTGTGCGCTGCGCATCCGTACCGATTTTTCATCTCGAGACCTACAAGAGCTACAGGGCTGAAACTTTGGGGACTTAATCTACATGCACTTACAGGCCCCCATCCCAAAATGGGCGGTCTTACCTGCGTGGTACCCACGTAAGAGCCCGCCAAAGTTTTTTACGGGTAAGCTGCTAAATCGCGAATCAGAAAAACTAGGAAGCTGAAATTTTAAGAGGAGTTCCCCGTCCACGTAAGTCTAAATGAGCTCAAACCCAGCTCCCGGGTAAGCGTGGTACCCGCGTAAGGGCCCGCCAAAATTTTTTTCAGGTAATTTTGCAACTCGGGGATCTGAGAAATGTAAGTGGGAATACTATTCCCATTTCGTAACATTTTCTTATGCTACTGATCAGACGTCATCTGGGAACTTTAAAAACAAAAACCTAGTAGAAAGCGTACCGGCTGCCGGTACGAGGATGCGTTTTTTGCACAGTTCCCCCCGCAGGTTTTTTTTCGCCACCGGCACGTTCTTCTTGGCAGATGCTTCTAGCTAAAAGAATTGACTGGCCACCACAACTGTTAGAAATTATTACAATGACTCCCAATCCATGCTCAGAAGATCCAGTGCTCTAGATGCTCGGTCTGCACAGTTATGTCAAATTTTACGTGTTCGTACGCGAGTAGCTACGTGAATGCTTCCTTCGCCCGCAGTTGCTCAAACATGGTCCTGGGTAGCGCTCAAAATGTTTCAGCACTCCAGCTGCTCTGGTTGCAGGGTTACGTCAAATTTCACGTGTTCGTACGTGAGTGGCAACGTGAGTGCTACTCTCGGTTGCTCAAGCGCGGTCCTGGGTAGCGCTCAGAAAGTTTCAGCACCCCAACTACTCTGATTGCGGAGTTACGTCAAATTTTACGTGTACACACGTGCTCGTACGTGAGATGTAGAAGGGCTGACA